CGCCGCGCGTCCTCTCGGCAAAGTTTCTCCCGGTTTCTGAAGTTTGTTCCAGTGGACCCGGCGCGCGCGCCAGGCCCGCGCTGGGCCCCCCTGGCCGCCTTTCCTGTGGCGAGGAGTCTGCACGTTGTTTCCGGTGCGGGAGTGTTCGAGAACTGACTTTCCAGGGAAATGATGGTGGTTTGTGGTATCTGTGGTCGCCTCCCCCTCCCTCCGCCGAAACTTCCCGGTCTGCTATCCAGGACATCGCGGAGCCCGCACCCCCGCACCCCCGCATTCCCGGGCCCGAGCAAATGTGAAAGTTCGAGCGCTCTCTTTCGCTGACACAGCTTTGGGAAGGTGCGCCACACCCGTGTGGACTTTTGGCGTGTACCACTTTAACCTTTGTTAAGTTACTCAGGCTTCTTGTTCTTGTGCTGGTTAACTGGACGCACTTAACTCAGATTAGTCCTACTTCTCTTGAGTGGCATTACAGTCTTTTCTGTTGACTTTTAAAGGCGTGTGCGTGCGTGTGAAGCACTTGTTGAAAAAAATGTTGACCGAATGCCTAACTTTGGCTTGGCAGGAATGGCTTCCCAATAATGCAGGCGGCAGTTGGCTCAAATCCAGTATTGACACCCTTTTTTGTCCTCATGTGTCTTTGTAACATTTTTAGTGTTTGTTTTGTACCGAATTTACAATAATCTAGAAAGGATAATGTTAAGTCTCCAACTAAATAAAGGGTATTTCAGATTTATGTTGAAGGAAATGATTACATCACTTATTGTTGCAACATGATAGGCAATTTGATGAGAGGATATTTTATTTAGCAGTGAATTTTAAGACTACACAGGTGTTTGTTACTTTAACAAATTTGTAAATCAAACTAATTAAGATGTGTTATTTTGTTTTACAAGAGAAACGAATGGAAAAATATACATAATCTTTGTCCACTTATTTACCCTTCTTGACTTTAAGTTAAAAATTTTTTTACCCACTCAAGGGCCCACAGATGATTAAGATTGGTCTCTGCTTCTAAAAACTCAAGTTAATGGGGCAGGAACACACCCAGGTGTAGGACAAGGCAGGTTGTGTTAAGTGTGGTAACAGTACTGATGAGAAACTTGTGTGTGGGTCAAATCTTACATAATACTAAGGGTAAGAGAAACTTGTGGAGGTGTGGAGAAGGGTCTGGTTGTTTGGCTAAGACTAGAAAGGGTTCCAGGAGGGGTGGTATTTGAACTGGATGAAACAGTAGGGTTTTCACAATGAAGGAAGCATAAAAGGCATAGGAATTTGTGGAATTGTAAAATTCTCTCCTGGGTTTCCTTATACTTTTGGCTATCGCTTCTCATTCTTTTTTTTTTTTTTTTTTCTTCTCCCTCCAATCCACTCATAGTCAAGATTCTATCCAATATATCTCAGTCCTAAACACCATTGATGTGGCATTACCCTTGCTCTCATCAGGAACATCTCACTCCATACAATGCCTTAGTAATCAGGGAGACTTCCCTCTAATTTGAGAATCACTTCTCTGAGCAGTCTCCCTGTCATCAAACTTATGTGCTAAAGTCCAGGCTTCTATTTTGAATGGTTGTCTTACCTGCACCAGACTGCTGCTTGAGTATCCTAGGGGCTTCTCAAAACCAACGTGTCCAAAATGAAATGCCTTTCTCTTCTGGAGACATAAGTTAGAGGTGGAGATCAGCAGTGACTGGCAGAGCCGTGAAATTTCTTTGAGAGAGTTACAGTATTGTGAGACATGACAGACTGACCTGGCCGTTGGTGGTAGTGGTGTGTGTGCTGGTGAAGATCTGGACAAAGGGGAACAGATCCTTCGCTTGTGTAAAGATCTCAAGACAGGAAAGAACTAAATGTGTTTAGAGACCTAAGAGACGATCAGTGTAGCTTGAATTCTTTTGGGGTGGGGAAAGGCCTTAAATGAGGTTGCCAGGAAATGCCAGATCACATGTTTGGATTTTATTCTAAGAAACCATTGTAGGGATTTTGATGAACTGATTCCCTTTTTAAGAAGATCATTCCCACTAGTGCTTGTAAGACTTGTATTTTTGTACAAGTAGAAGTAGGAAGTTGAATTAGGAGATGGAGTGAAGGTGGTGGAGATGAAGGAGCTGTATTTTGGAGAAATGAGAGCTTAAGAAAAGATCAGACGTAGGGGCCTAGGCTTATCTGTAACTTGTTTTCTCAGTGATGTACCCTGAAGGCTCCTCTAATCCATTTGTATTCCATCATTTTCATGCTGAGCTCTTAGTCATATCTCAAGACTCACGTTAGCACTTTGCCTTCTTGTAGCAAACCTCTTCTTACCAGATGGTGTACTCTCTTGTACTGTACCTTATTATTAATGTTGCTGTTTGAAGTTCCTGCTACCAGTGAGCTCTTTGAAGGCAAGGACAGGTTAGCTTTAGCTTTTGGCATGATAACTGGCATGGAGGGCAAATAAAATGCTAGTTGAATGGAGGAGGAAAAAGTTTTATGCCTGGAGTCTAGCTTGTGAGTGGAACTACAGATTATGTAGAGCTTCGAATACCAAATTGCTGTTTTGGGCAAATTGAGAATCATCTCTGTTCCATTCTTCTCTTTTCTACCTAGATCTAATCTGAGATGAAATCTTCTCCATCTGGTTTTTATCTTAAATAAATTCCTTTTTCCATTCTCTATGCTTTCACTCTCATTTAGATTATTTTATCTTTGAGCTATTGAAATTACTTGTAGTTCTCTGGATAAATTGTTCTGTTGCTTTTTTTGTCACCTTTTTCCTATTTATTTTTTTTCTTTGCCTAGAGTACCCTTTTTCTTCCCTCATCCATTTGACGAACTCATTCTCTAAAACCCACCTTAGACGTCATGCCTCTGGGTTTTCTCTTGTGTCTTAGTGCTTCTTGGGTACCTTGTATAAATTCTGTGATTGCATGTTTCATACTGTTTGGTAAATATTTTTATGGAAGATTTCTTCCCAGCTGGGGGTTTCTTAAAAGTGAGGTCTAGGTCTTTATTTTATCTTTAAAACTTTTTAAAATTAAAGTATAACATGTATGTAGAAGAGTGCTCAAGTCATGAATACCTGCTTAATGAATTGAGTGACTACTACCCATATCCACCATCCTGATCAAGAAATAGAAAATTACTGGTACTCTAGGAATCCCTTTTTGTCCCTTTGCAGTCGCTACGTGTCCTTCTGCTCCCTTCAGTTTTTAATCTGAGAATCTAGAACATATGGTTGCTCAAAAAGTGTTTGCCAAAGTTACTTGAATTTCTTCTTATCTTCTCCTCCACTATTCAGTCTTTTACGTTTAAGCAAAATTCTCATTTGAGAAACTTACTGCTGTCTCATTGCTGCACTGGTTAGTCTTAGATTGGCATTCAAGGCCTTCTAAATTCTGGCCTTATCATACTTTTTCAGCCTTATTTTCTACTGTTAATTGTTGCTACATGTCCTCTGCATCTTCCAGCCATTTGTACTGGGATGTACTGTGATGTTTGATCCTTCTTTGACACAAATGCTATCCATCTCTGAAAGCATTTGTCCGTTGAGGCATTGGTCATCATTGCTGAAAGTGGTCTTTAATTTATCTGAAATTATAGAATTTGCACCTGATTATGACATTCTTACTCATATCCTGTTTGTTTGTTTTTTTTTGGTGTAAAATATGCTTAACAAAATGTACCATTTTAACTATTTCCATATGTATACTTCAGTGGCATTAAGTGCATTCACATTGTCATGCAGCCATCACAACCATCTGTATCCAGAACTTTTACATTTTTTTTTAATACCTACAGCACCCAGTCTTCCTAGGTGGTCTGCCATCCAAGTACTAACCAGGCCCGACCCTGCTTAGCTTCCGAGATCAGACAGGATTGGGCGTGTTCAGGGTGGCATGGCTGTAGACTTCATTTTCCCAAACCAAAACTCATATTAAACAACTCCCGTTTTCTCTCCCTCAGACCTTGGCAACCAACTACCTTTGTACTTTCTCTTTGAATTTGACTACTGTAAGTGGAATCATACAATATGTGTCTTTTTGTGACTCGCTTATTTTAGC